AGAGAGAGAGAAACATCAGTATGAGAGCAACATTGATCAGCTGCCTCCTGCACGCTGCCCTAATAGGGATTGAGCCCACAATTTGGGCATGTGCCCTGACCAAGAATTGAACTGGCAATCTTTCAGTGCACAGGAAGACACCCAACCTACTGAAGCACACTAGCCAGGGCTGTAGTTGAGTCTTTATTGCTGTTGGTGCATCCATCAGTGGAGTTAACCTTCAGGCTGGCTGACTGTGAGGATTGATCCTGACCTCACTGTATGAGCTGCTGGGCAGGGACTAACCCCATGAAGTAGAATTCACCCCAGCAGGGTCTGGTATCTGCCAAAATCTTCCTTTTGATGTGCCACTTGTGGGGCTAATTGGGTTGTGCTTTAATGTGGTCTGAAGCCTGCCACCAGGTTCTGAGGCCTCTTGGGAGGGACTCTGGTGCTGGTGAATATCAGATGCTGCCTGTGACTGGCCCTGGGCTACCTGTTAGAAGCTACAAACAATCCACTTTTTGTGGCAGCCTCTGTAGGATAAGGGTGCATATGGGAGGAGCCAAAGTGCATGCCCTGTCTGGCTTCCACCAGCACCAAACCCATGGGAGGGGTCAGCAAAAGCCCCAAGGCACTCCAAGATATGCCTTTGCCTGCTGGCTTCCTGTTAGGCCCAATCACTGGAATTGCCTCTGGCAATATGCAAATTGAAGTAGGTTCTCATGTTGGGGCCAGTGGTATTCACCAGGTTGATACATATACAAACTTGAAGCCAGTACTGCTTCTGGGGCTACTCAGCAAATGTCTCATTGTACACCAAAGCCAGCAGCCAGCTGCCACCTGCATGGGGCCTGCAGACATTTGTGGTGGGGCGGGGTCTGAGGGCGTCATCAGGGTGAGGCCAGCAGTTTATAGGGCTAAAACAGACCAATATTTGGTCACGTGGATGGAGAGCTTTGCACAGCAATGGTGGCTCCTGTCAGGCATGTGAGTGGAAAAAGACCTTCACCCTAAAGCCACAGAACTCAGTCTCTGACATCCCGTTTGTCTGCCTACACATCCTAAAGATCCCTCCAAGAAAGTCTGCACTGCCAGCTCAGGCTGGCTGGTGGGAGCTTGGCAGGGCAGGGATACTGGTATTTGGGAGGGAGTACTGATACATTCCACCAGGCTGATGCCTTGTGGAGGGGAATGCTCAACCCAAGAAATATGGCATCTGTGGACTGTGGTGGGAGAGGGATTCAACACAAGGACCTGGTTGGCTGTCCCTTTAGCTCTCTCCCTGAAGCCACACAACCCACTCTCTGCCTGTATGACTCCAGTCTGCTCTGAGCTACCTTCCCTCCGCTTAAGCCCATGGTGAGTGGCTGCAAACGACATTTTCTGCATTGACTTTTTAAGAGGGCTCCTGGGTTTCTGTCAGACTCCCTTCTCTCCCTAGTAGATGGAATCTCCGATGACTTTCACAGCCAGGAATTAGGTGGGTTTCTCTTCCTTTTGTGGTGCTCCAGGCTGGGGAGCCTGTGTTGGGTTGAGCCCGTTGCTCCTGACAGTGGACTTTGTAGGTGAAATATCTCTCCAGATTCTCTACTGCTGCACATGTGGGGCCACCTCTTTTTGAGCCTCAGTCCGTCCTACCAGTCTCCATGTGGCAGCATCTGTAAATCCTTGGTCATAAGACTTCTGTTCAGCTGGACTTCAATTGGTTACTTAGGTTGATTGTTCTGAAATTTAGTTGTACTTCTGGTTTGATCCTGGGAGTAGGTGAGTGTAACTTCAACCTACTCCACCACTGTATTGGATCCTGTTGGGTTTTTTTTTTTAATTAAAATACTAACATTGAATCATCCCTCTGTATAGCCATTATGTGCTTTGTGCAAAATATAATTCAACTTGTTAAAATATCTGTTTTCCGTATCCTACAAATTCAGGAACTGTCTTGTCCCATCATGTCTGCTATTTAGTACAGTGCTAGCTCATTATAGGTGCTCAAAAAATATTTGTACAGTTAATATATACTATACTCTTGAAAGTGTATAAAGTTTAGCTGTTTGTGATCCTTGCTAATTAACACAAGCTAATATAGATTTAAACAATTACAGCATAACTAGGACAATTAATTTTTTTT